ACACCACTAACCCAATGGGTATGTGGCATTTTCCTTAATCCAAATGACAGCTGTCTACTGCAAACCCAGAGGCACAAATCGTGTGGGTTAAGAAAAAAAATGGGGCCGGCCGAGTGGCAAATTGGTTGTGCGTTAGCTTGGGACACCAGCTCTGAGCAGCAGGGCCCCGGTTCAGATCCCACATATGAGGGCCAGTGACGCTGCGCCCTCTACAGCTAAGATGGTGAACAACAGGTCGCTGGCAATGGCGTAGGCTGCAGTGGGGCGTGAGCTTTCGTGAGCTGCTGTGAGTCACCATGAGCGGCCGTCCAATGGCCGGGGAGTGACTGCCTCACCCAGGAAGAGCGCAATGATAATACCAACATGGGCCAGTGAAGCGACATCCTCCACAACTAGACTGAAGAACAAAAGGACAGCAACTTGCCTGATCCCCTTCCCTGATTCCCCAATGCTGTTCCCCTCCCCCAATTCCTCAATAAAATCTTAAAAAAAAAACTTGCACAATAACATCATCTACTAGAAAGAAGAAATCACTCTACCTATCAACTTATTGAATTGTTGAAACAAAACAGTATCTAAACAAGAAAAAAGTTCACTACCTCAAATGTGAAGGCAGAGAAACAAATAGCATGAACAACCAAGGTAATATGGGAGCACAAAAAGAAAATGAAAACTCTCCAGAAACCAACTCAAAGTCATGGGCCAAAGAATTTAAGATGGCAGTTATGAAAAGCTCAGTGAGATAAAAGAGAACTCAGAAAAGCAATTCAGTAAGTTCAGGATAAAATTAATGAACAAAAGGAACTTTACCAAAGAGAATGGAACTATAAAAAAGAACGAAACAGCTAAAGAACTCAATAAATGAGATGAAGAATGCATTAGAGAGCACTAAAAATAGAGCAGACCAGATGCAAGAGAAAATTAGCAAACTCGAGGACAGAAATCGAAAAATGGCCCAGAAGGAAGAAGAGACAACTAAGAATTAAAAATGATGAAAGAACTCTACAAGAACAATCTGACACCATTAGAAAGAGCAACATATGGGGAATGGGCATACCAGCAGGATAAGAGAGGAAAAAGGGAACAGAGAGCCTCCACAAAGAAATAATTGATGAGAACTTCCCAAGTCAATGGAAAGAATTGAACTTTAGAACAAAGGAAGCTAACAGAACACCTAACTATATCAATGCAAAAAGACCTTCTCAAAAGCGCATTTTACTAAAACTGTCAAAAATTAATGACAAAGAAATAATTCTCAAGGCAGCCAGGGGGAAAGAAACTGTAACCTACAAAGGAAACCTCATATTATCATCAGATTTTTCAGTAGAAACATTACAAGGTAGGAGAAAGTGGAAGGAAATAATCAAAATATTGAAACACATGAACCATCAGCCAAGAATACTATAGCCAGCAAAGTTATCATTTAGAGATGAAAAAGAAAAAACTTTCACAGACAAATGAAAGCTGAGAGAATTTACCACCATAAGACCTGCACTACAAGAAATGTTGGAAGGCAATCTTCTACCAGAAACAAAAACGCATAAGTATACAAAACTAATAAGATGATTAACAAAGAGACAGAAGCAGGAAATTGCAACTGTACTTCAGAATAGGATATTAAACACTTAATTCTAACATAAATGTCAAAGGGGGGATAGGGGACATTAAAAAATAACAATAATTAATGCAATCTGGTAATGAATGCACAACATGAAAAGATAAAATTAGGGACAACAAAAGCATAAAAGGGAAGCAGGAAAAGGACTGAATATGTATAAGTGAATGAGCATAAGATGCAATCAAAAGAAATGAAGAAGTGAAACTGTCACTATTTGCAGATGACATGATTCTATATATAGAAAACCCTAAAGGCTCCACCAAAACACAATTAGAAACAAACAAAGACAGTAAAGTTGAAGGATACAAAATCAGTGTACAAAAATCCATTGCATTTCTATATACATTGAAATTTCAGAAAGAGAAAAGAAAAAAAAAATCCCATCCACAACTGCAACAAAAAGAATGAAAAACCAAGGAATAAACAAAGGAGGTGAAGGACCTGTACACTGAAAACTACAACACACTGTTGAAAGAAATTGAAGAAAACAATAAAGAAATGGAATGGTACTCCATGTTAATGGACTGGAAAAATTAACATTGTTAAAATGGCATATTATCTACAGCAATATACAGATTTAGTGTAATCCCTATCAATATCCCAACGGCATTTCTCACAGAAATAGAAAAAAATCCTAACATTTGTATGAAACCAAAAAGACCCCAAATACCAAAGCAATCCAGAGAATAAAGAATAAAACCAGAGGTCTCACACTCCCTGACTTCAAACTATATTATTGGGTTGTCGGAAAACTCATGACCTATTTTTTCTATGTTTTTTGTTGCAACAATGTGTCATGACTTTTCCAACAACCCAATACTAAGCTACAGTAATCAAAACAGCATGATACAGACAGAAAAACAGACACACATACCAGTGGAACTGAGCTGAGAGCTCAGAAATAAACCCCACATATATGCACAACTAATTTTCAAGAAAGGAGCAAAAAAACATACAATGGAGAAAGGAAAGTCTCTTCAATAAATGGGTTGGGGAAAAGGGAAGCCTCGTGCAAAAGAATGAAACTAGACTGCTATTTGTCACCATCCACAAAACTCAAAATGGACTAAAGACTTGAATATAAAACCAGAAACAATAAAATAAAGAAAAGGAAACATAGGCAATAGATTTATGGATCTTGGTCTCAGAAGTGTGTTTGTGAACTTGACCCCAAATGCAAGGGAAGAAAAAGCAAAAGTAAATAAATGGGACAACAACATTCTAAAAAGCTTCTGCACAGCAAAAGTAACCATCAACAAAACAAAAAGATAACCAACTGAATGGGAGAAGGTATTTGCAAACAATACTTCAATATGGGGCTAATATCCAAAACATATTAAGAACTCATGGAACTCAGCAACAGCAACAACAAAAAACAACAATCTGGGCCGGCCGAGTGGCGCGATGGTTAAGAACTGGCTTGGGACGCCAGAGGGCCCCGGTTCGGATCCCACATATGAGGGCCAGTGACACTGCCCT